TTATTACTATTAATTTTAATGAAAATTTATAGAGACTTTGGATTTCCATTCATTCATTGTTGCACTTTTCTCCCTGCCTACCCCTCTCCCTCCCCCAGTTCGCTCTTTGAAAAGAAAAATTCTTTCATTGTTATACAATCCCTCGGCCCAGGTCCACTCCACTGTGCAGCCTTTGCTCTGGACTCCTGTCATGACAATAATACCTAATCACATATGCCGTTTAAACAGTTTTCTTCCTCACAGAGTCGGTTCCAACACAGAGGCCCCTCCCTTAGTGTCACAGCGTCAGTGAAGGGAAAGTCATCCCACCATGGGGACAGCCAGCCGGTGTCACCACGGAAAAGAAAGACAGGGAGGCACAGGAAGAACAGGAACCAGAGTCGTAGGGAGGACGGGCAAAACTGATTGAAATCACCTTCATTTTCCAGAATAAAATGTGTATGGCTGGTGGAAGGCAAAACTAATTTGCTGTGTCAACTTTTACTCAAAACACAGTGTTAAAGAGAAAAAAATATATATTTGCAGCTTCAAAAGCCTGATGGAGGCTTGCGTCCCACAGGGGTTGGGTCTGAGTTCTTCATCAAGGAGTTCAAATCACCAGCCTTCCTTCAGCAGGGGTCCCTTACACCGTGCCTCCAGGATTCCTGGGGTCCTGAGGATCCACCCAGCATCCCCCCTGGAAGTCTGCTTGCCACACGACACTGGGCAATGCTTCAAAGCTATCTGCTCCCAGAGTGGCGAAGAGCTGGAACCCCGCCAGTTTAGGGGAGGATGTTTTGCTTTGGGGGTTTGCATGTTTTGGTCGGTGGCAGCTATTTAACTAGTAATCGGTGTCGGTTCAGCCTTGTCGTTAGCGCGTTAGTTATGGGTGGTTTCCTGAAGCTGCTGTGTAAAATGATACACATTCGCCTCACCCCTTTGCGTGCGGGGCCTGCAATTTTCCAATAATGAGGCGTTCTGAAGACATGCATGTATTTATCTGCTCAGATCTGCAGTATCCCCTTCCCCTACTGCCAAAACAGATGTACACAGCACACGCCCGTCGCCGCCCCGGGGAAGAACTTGCTTCTTTTCAACTCAGCTGCTCTTCTATCCGAGAGTAGAGAAGGAGGCAGCTTGTGTGGTTCCCGTCCCACTGAAGTGAGAGCCATCGAAGCAGTGCGGAGCAAAGGTGCTGGACCTCTGCTACGGGCTGAAACATGGTCCCCAACGTCATGGGTTCAAGGCCTGCCTCCCCCATCTCTGGGAGATGTCGTATTGTCGCCGGCCCATTAAGTGACATCCTTACTGTTCTGGAGACTGAATGAACTCCTCGCCACCCTCCTTTCAGAAGCTGTAAAAAACACAGACGGAGACTATTCCTCTTTCTCCCCTTTGAGAGCTTGTGGGATTGGGTGTGTGTGTGTGTGTGTGTGTGTTGTTTTTTAAAAAAATTTCCATTCATTCATTGTTGCACTTTTCTCCCCTCCCAACCCTCCCCCCAGTACACTACCCTCTTGGAAAAGTAAAAGAAAAATTTTTTCACTGTTTTACAGTACCTCCCCCCAGGTCCACTTTTCAATGCAATATACATTATTGAACCCATCTTACTCAGTCTCCCCCCAACCCCAAGACAGTGGCACCACTAGTTTGGTTTTATATCTGTGGGTCACACATTGCCATCAAGTCAGGGCCAACTCATAGTTGACCCTCCAGAGGGTTTTCAGAGGCGTCACAGTTTCTCTCAAGAGGGGAGATTGTTTGTGTCTTCTAGGCTACAACAGTTCTAAGATGTATCTTCAAGGATATGAACATGTATAGCTAAGCACAACTGATAACAGTGCATCTAAATTCCAAAATCAATC